TGAAGGGTCCCAGGTTTGATTCCGGTCAAGGGCACATGCCCGGGTTGTGGGCTTGATCCCCAGTAGGGGGCATGCAGGAGGCAGCCGATCAATGATTCTCTCTGATCATTGATGTTTCTATCTCTCCCTCCACCTTCTCTGAAATCAATAAAAATATATTTAAAATATAAATACATAAAAATAAATAAATAAATAAAATGAGGCTAGCCCTACCAGTGGCTCAGTGGTTAGAGTGTTGGCCTGTGCACAGAAGGTTCTGGGGTTCAATTCCAGGTCAAGAGCACGTAACTGGGTTGTGGGATCATTTCTTGGCCCCAGTCAGGGCAGCCAATCAATGTCTGTGTCTGTCTGTCTGTCTGTCTCTCTTTCCTCCCTTCCACTCTTTCTAGAAATTGATGGGAAAAATATCCTAAGGTGAGGATTAACCAAAAATTAAAATTAAATAAAATGAGGATAAAAATGTATATATATTTCTTTGCATATGTATAAATATCTCTGTGAAGATACACACACATAAATATAAAGCTAATGACTTTCTTTGGCCCTAGGGAGGATAAGTAGATGACTCAGCTCCTAGTCATGACACTTTTGACTATATATATTTTTCTACCATTTGAATTTTGAATGATATAGGTGAAGAGATTAAACAAATAAAAAAACAAACTCATAAACACAGACAACAGTGTGGTGATTATCAGAGGGAAAGGGGGGTGGGGGAAGGTAGAAGAGGGTAAAGGGAGATAAATGGTGATGGAAGGAGACTTGACTTGGGGTGGTAAATGCACAATACAATATACAGATGATGTATTATAGAGTTATACACCTGAAACCAATATTATTTTATTAACCAATGTCACACCAATAAATTCAATAAAAATTTTAAAAAATGTTAAAGTCACAATAAAAAAATTACACAAAGTTTTAATCAAATCAGTCAATAAATACAATCAGAGGACCAGTTTTGTTTGATAACATTTCTATTCACATTACATAATACTACACTGAGAGAATAACTTATATATAATAATTTGAAAATGTCACATATTCAATTTTGTGATTTTAGCATTTTAATCTGTATTTACCATGGACTTTGAGGTTATATTTTTTTTCTGTGGTCCCAGCTTCATTGACTACTACACAGATGTACTCCCCATTGTCATATGGTGTAACAGAAGCAATAACCAACATTGTGCCTTCGTCCAAGACAGAAATACCGGGCTCTCTGCCTGTCAGCTCTCTACCATTCCGTAACCATTTGATGGTTGGTTTGGGAGTACCTAAAAAAGGAATTAAAGCCTTGTGATATTTTACAACAAAATTAGAAATCATTATTAAAGATCTAGTATACTAGGAGGAAATAATTTGCACCCTAATGTATATGCTACTTTCAAGATAATTTCCCCTGGCATGGGCACCTCTAATTCCTGATTAGTCTTAAGAGACCTATGATCTCTAGTGTAGAGTTTGATCAAAGTTAATTTTATCAAGACCTTCAGATGACAGTAATAAAAGAAAAGCATTTTCTTGTGAATCATGGTGCTCACTGGGAAAAACTATATTAATCAAATAGTCTAGATATATGAGGAGTTTTTGGTTAAAAATAAAGGAAGAGGGAAAATAAGATACTATCAAAGGAATAAACACGAAGATTGCCCAACCAAATAGACTGCATAAGTGATGTAATAAAATGATGCTTTATAATTCACATTTTAAATAAGCCTGATAGAATAGAGATGAGAAGTAATGGGAAAGAGCATGAACTATATGGAAGACAAACTAGATGAGGCAAGTTTGGAGGAGCAGAAGGTCTTTTCATTGAAGAAAAAACACCTATTCAAATAGCTGTTATTTGAAAGAGGGATTAGTTTCTATTATGCCCAGGTATTATAACAAGAACTCTCAAGTGGGATTTTATGAATTGATGTGGGCTCAGTGTAGAAGGAACAATATGACATTATGCCAATGCCCATATGTCTGGGTATTACACACCTTTTGCAGGACATGGGAATGCAATGCGCTGATTGGCCACTCTTTCCTGGAATGGGGTGTTATAGCAGCTGATCAATGATTCTCATCATTGATGTTTCTATCTCTTTCCCTCCACCCTTTCTGAAATCAATAAAAATATATTTAAAATATAAATACATAAAAATAAATAAATGAGGATAGCCCTACCAGTGTGTTCAGTGGTTAGAGTGTTGGCCTGTGCACGGAAGGTTCTGGGGTTCAATTCCAGGTCAAGGGCACGTAACTGAGTTGTGGGATCATTTCTTGGCCCCAGTCAGGGCAGCCAATCAATCAATCACTCTCTCTCTCTCTCTCTCTCTCTCTCTTTCTCTCTCTTTCCCTCTCTCTCTCTCCCCCCCCCATCTCCCCTCTTCTCCATCCCACTCCTCTCCTTTTTCAGGCATCCTCAAGCTAGCTGGCCTAAATCAGTGATCGGCAAACTCATTAGTCAACAGAGCCAAATATCAACAGTACGACGATTTAAATTTCTTTTGAGAGCCAAATTTTTTAAACTTAAACTATATAGGTAGGTACATTGTTATTAACTTAATTAGGGTACTCCTAAGCTGGCCTTTGCTAAAAACGTCCTCAATCTGATTGAGGTACATTTGCTGAGGTCGACCCCTTCCAACTCTCCCATCCACACTCGTCTTGTATACTTGTTTC